AATTAGTTCTTCAAATTAATCCATCATCTCCAATAATTTGTACGTTGATACAAACATACATTTCATCTTCTAATCTTCACAACATACAATGATCCTATTTTTCTTGTCGTAGACCGGATGATCAAGATCACGATTGGAAGTAATGACATGCAATTATACCGGGAGATTAGGTCTTGTCACATTAAAGAGTTTCGTCCATGACATAAAACCACCATTCTTGATCTTGCTTGTGACCCACGACTCAATGTACATAGTTGTGATACATTGTCGTATCCAATGCCGCAATAATAGTGAAACGAATCAAGATTCAAGGAACTTATCCTTCTAACTTGTTTCAGATTGCGAGCTTGCCTAAATCAAATCTGCATAACAGCGACAGGCAAACGAACAACTTAGCGATCAAAAGATATAAATTAAAAATAATAAAAATAAATTAAATTAAATTAAATTAAACTATATAAAATATAATCAAAACTAAACTTAATTAAATATAATTATATAAATTTATAAAAATCTAAAACAAATTAAACTGAATTAGATTTAAATAAATCAAATTAAATATAATCTAAATTATAATTAATCTTATTAAATTATAATTAATCTTATTAAATTAAAATAAAATATAATAACATTATAATTTTAATTATTTTTATAATAATAATATTTTAAATAATATTTTTAGTTCTATCTATTAAATTCATATTTTTTTTATCTTTTTCAAATTTTATATTAAAAAATTTTTTATATTAAAAAATTTTTTATATAAAAAATAATCCGGATTCGGATATCCGGTTATTTTTACGGATATCCTAAATCCAGATATCTAGATGAGACGGATCTGTTTTTTTAGGGTATATGGTATAACTAAAATTTACGTTGGTGTGTTTTTTTTTTAACGAATGAAAAAGGAATAAAAAAACAATTAATGAAAAGAAAAAAATAATAAATGTCATTAGATAAAGGAAAGTGAGCTAAGTCGTTCCGTAGCTTCCGCCGTCGCCGTTCAGATGACCACCGCCGAGTTAAATCCATTACCGTCTCGCTCCGTTTTTCTCGGTGTCGACGTTGGCACTGGAAGCGCCCGTGCCGGTAATCCTTCTGTCCTTTTTTCCAGAATTAAAATCTCGTCAGTTTTGAAATATTGTGGTGTTCTTAGATTCGTGAGAATGATGCCTGTTGATTTAGTGGCGATGAAATTTGATATCAGTCTTATATAATCGATTCTTTTGAGTGATTTCAATATTGAAAAATCGACCTCTATTGCACCGGAACAATTTACTTCAAACACTCCACGATCGCTCCAAATTAAGGCAATGCAAATTTGGTTTGTAGCTTAAGTTGATTACTTGATGCAGGTTTGTTCGATGAAAGTGGGAAGCTTCTAGGATCTGCTAGTAGCCCAATACAGATTTGGAAGGATGGGGACTGTGTTGAGGTAATTAGTTTGGATAAGGGAGATCGAGTTCAAGTGCTACTAAGTCATTGCTTATTTGTTTAGAGATTAACTTTGACATTCATGATTTTATTGGAACAGCAATCTTCAACCGATATTTGGCATGCAGTTTGTGCTGCTGTGAAATCTGCTTGCTCTCTTGCAAATGTTTCGGAAGTAGAAGTGAAAGGAATTGGCTTTGCTGCTACGTGCTCTCTCGGTTTGTAGCCTCTGCTTTGTGTTGATGCTTTTCTTTTTTTGGTGCTAAGGAAGAGAAACTTTAACACTAACAATGTAACGTTGTTTTTGTTTGTAGTGGCGGTCGATGCTGAGGGTTCCCCTGTTACAGTGTCTTGGAGTGGTGATTCAAGACGAAACATTATTGTATGGATGGACCATAGAGCTGTAAAGCAGGCAGAAAGAATCAACTCATTTAATTCTCCAGTCTTGCAGTACTGCGGTGGCGGTGTTTCTCCAGAAATGGAGCCACCAAAAGTAGGTAGCAGTTTCTTAAAGATGCATTATGTGATTGCTTTCTGCTTGTTTGAGATTGACGGAAAAAAGAATTCTCCTTTTGCAGCTTCTATGGGTGAAAGAAAATCTTAAGGAGTCTTGGTCCATGGTGTATAAGTGGATGGACTTGAGTGACTGGCTGTCCTACAGGTGCGGTCAGGCCGTTCGCTCTTTTAACCTTTTCGCCCTGTTGAGATAATTGTCTTTGCTCTCCCTGATTCCTTTTGTTTCCTATTAGAGCTACTGGAGATGATACACGTAGTTTGTGCACCACAGTATGTAAGTGGACTTATCTTGGCCATGCACACATGCACCAGATGAGTGAGAAGGCTTCTCGTGATATGGAAGCGTGTGGATGGGATGATGAGTTCTGGGAAGAAATTGGCTTAGGCGATTTGGTAGATGGGCACCATGCTAAGATCGGTATGCATATTTTTTTGTTTCCTTTTGTTGTTAGAAATGCTGATAAGGAACTGCGAAATCTCTACTTTTACCTTGTAACAATGCTATTTCTATCGGTAATTAGGACGAAGTGTGGCTTTCCCTGGACATCCTCTAGGTAACGGTCTAACTGCAACTGCTGCTAAGGTAAGTTTTTTACAGAGCAACCACTTAAAATTAAGAAAATCGAGGTGTTCAGATACAAGAGCAAGCACTTTATATCTTCTGTGGGTCTTAGAGAATGCTTAGTTGTTAGGTCTATATTTTCATTCTGTACATATATTTCCCATTTATTCTCTAGTTTTTCATTATTCACAGGAACTGGGTCTGTTAGCTGGAACTCCTGTTGGGACTTCACTCATTGATGCTCATGCCGGTGGTGTTGGGGTCATGGAAAGTAAATCAGATTCAGACTCCTTGACGAAAGGTATACATGGCTATTATAGTATAGCGTAACGTGATATATATGTCTCTAAGAATTGGCATTTTCAGTGTCAGATGTGGATACCTTATGCTCTCGAATGGTCTTGGTATGTGGCACATCAACTTGTCATATGGCTGTTTCCCGTGAAAAGCTGTTTATTCCTGGCGTGTGGGGGCCTTTTTGGTCAGGTACAGACACTTTTGGTTTCTATTCTTACTTTTTTATGTATGAATTCTCACTCTTGTTTTTCCAAAACAAACAACTATTGTAGCAATGGTTCCGGAGTATTGGCTTACAGAAGGAGGACAAAGTGCTACTGGAGCTTTACTTGATCACATCATCGAAAATCATGTCGCTTCTCCCCGTCTTGCAAATCGTGCTGCTTCCCAGAGTATAAAATCTTCCTCTTTTTACTTCTCTTGACGAAATATTTGATTGAATGCTATAGTTTGTTTTGCACTTGCCATTGTCTCGATCTCTTGCAGAAGTTTCTGTGTTTGAACTCCTGAACAACATTTTGAAAACAATGGCTGAAGATACGAGTTCTCCATTTATATCTGCCCTTACCTCAGACATGCATATCCTTCCCGACTTTCACGGAAACAGGTGACTAAAACAGAGAGTTCTGCTCTGTTTCTTCTCTTTTTGAGCTATGTTGATTCAAAGCTGTATTACAGATCTCCCGTTGCAGACCCAAATTCGAAAGGAGTGATATTCGGAATGTCTCTTGACACATCCGAGAAGCAGTTGGCTCTTCTATACCTCGCCACAATTCAGGGAATTGCATATGGTACACGTCATATAGTAGAGCATTGCAATGCTCATGGTCACAAAGTAAGTTTTCTCCACCTTTCTTCACACATCGTTCTATAGAAACAGTACAAGACATTCACTTCCACAGGAAACAAAAACAGCCTCATATTTCTCTGTCTCTACATGTGATGTTAGATTGATACACTGCTTGCTTGTGGCGGCCTTTCAAAGAACCCATTGTTCATCCAAGAACATGCTGATATAGTTGGTATATTACTAACCACACTCATTTTCCTCTTCTATATTTGAACCAATCACTAAAGTAATCCAGTAGTAATCTTACTAGACCGATCTATTGGCAGGTTGTCCGATTATTCTTCCCAGAGAAAGCGAGTCTGTTCTCTTAGGAGCAGCAATTCTTGGAGCAGTTGCTGGCAAGAACTATCCTAGTCTCCATGATGCCATGAAAGCTCTTAACGCAGCTGGACAAGTATGCTCTGATCTAACTACTTTGCTTGATTACCCAATTCTTACATTGATAATGTCATTGTCCAAAATCTCAGGTTGTCCATCCCTCATCAGACCATAAGATTAAGAAGTATCATGACGCCAAATACCTTATTTTCCGTAGCCTCTACGAACAGCAATTGTCTCACCGTTCCATCATCAACGAAGCTCTTGCATAATGTTTCTGTTCAACAAAAACTGTATAGTTCTCTGCAGCAACACATTCAACTTTCTTTTGCTACTTTTTCAAATATTGATAATAATCGGCTTTGATTGCTCTTCTTGACTATGTATATGAATAATACAATAATGTTCATGAAACTTGGGAAATTGGAAATAAAACAAAAACCAGTGTGTGCTACCGAAACCAAAACCGTAACAAATCACTACATGTTATATTTGGTCTCACTTGGACATCATCATTCTCTTTAAAAAAACCCGAACGGAGAAATATAAACACTCCTGATGAATAAAAGTCTATCTTCTTTCAATAATGTCAAAAGGTAAATAATAAAGAAAATGAAACATCGATATCCAAATACTGCTGGCTGACTTAGTTCCAAATAAAAAAAACCAATTATCGTTTATTAAATAGTAGTATTATACTATTGTTAACGAAAAGTTCTTTGGTTTAAATATTCTTACCCAAGACTTTTTTAGGGTGGCCGATCTATAGTATTAATATTACCTACTACGCATAAACTATAAGTTAAGCACATAAAAATTACTATAATACATGCTTAATTGTAGACAAAATCTAAGAATTCAAAACAAATTCAAGTGTGGCTATCATAATCGAACATGTACACCACTTAATCATAGAGTTGACACTTTCTCCCTTATAATATTAAAAGAATCATACCAACAAATTTCTCTTCATGATTCTTCCAAGCTTATATAAAACCATAAGCAAATACCATTTGTTCAAGCCTCACCCAAAATGGCTCCTCCTAGTTGTGTTTCGGTTGCAATCACGGCTCTGATACTACTTGTAACATGTTGTCATTGCGCAACCTACCAAGAACAATTCATGGCTCCACAAAACGCAGTAAGAGCTCGTTTAAGGCTCAAACCGCTAAAATGGGACGCCAAATTGGCCCGTTACGCGCAATGGTGGGCTAACCAGAGACGCGGTGACTGTGCCTTGATCCATTCCAATGGACCCTATGGTGAGAATCTCTTTTGGGGCTCAGGCAATAGATGGAGTCCATCTCAAGCCGCCTATGGATGGTTGTCCGAAGCAAGGAGCTATAACTATAGATCTAACTCGTGCAACTCCCAGATGTGTGGCCATTACACACAAATCGTGTGGAAAAAAACACAGAAGATTGGCTGTGCTCACGTGATCTGCAATGGCGGAGGAGGCGTGTTCTTGACTTGTAATTACGATCCACCGGGGAATTTTCTTGGTACTAAGCCGTATTGAGAATGATCCATTTGTATATCTAAAGAAATACTCATGCCAAAAGAGGTTGTTCTTGTGTTTTAACTTTCTTTTTGTATACAATGTATTTTTTTATTGGTTTAAGTTTAACGTGAGATCGGCAAAACTACACAACGTATGTTTTTCCAAACATTTTCTTATGTGTGTTTGATGTGAGAGCCTTTTTTGGCTAATAAGACTAACAAATCATATTATTCTCAGATTTTGGACCGTAATCTTAACCAAATATTAGACATTTCTTAACAACTACAATCTTCTTGGATGAGTTTTCTCTGTCATAAGGCTTTTTTGAAGAAACTTTTTTCTCATAAAAAAAATTTGCAAAGTGAAATTTCTCAATTTGACAGTAAGTAAACAACAGAAAGACAACTTTTCCCCAACAGAAGAAACAAGAGGGGAACAAGAACTCTAGAACCATCCCATATAGTTAGATCATTCCTTCCACTGCAACAGACATCACTTGCCCCTGTAATAAGATATGAGAAGGATTGAGTTTCAATTTTTTTGTTACCTAAAAATGCATTTGAATGTAAAAGTTTGTATCTATACATTCATGGAGAGACGAATAGAGAGAGATGTGAAAGAAGTGGTCAAAAGAGGATGATTACACTTACGCGTTCATCATCAGAGTTATGTTGTCTCCTTTTAGCAAAATCCTTCCTGAAATCCAGTTTTTGCGTGAGTGTTAGCACCAACCATTACAAAAACACATAACAATATGAGAAATGTGAACCAGAGTCTTGTAGAAGAGTGATTTGAGAGAGTCGCAAACAACTCACCAAGTGGTTTTCTGGTTTTCTTCTTGATGCTCACTTCCTCAGCCTCATCCAGCACCAAATTCATGTACTCATCAAAACCCTGCACAATGCAAAAGTTTTAAAATAACGAAACAATGAAACACTCAACGTCAACTAAACAACTCAACCAAGACACGACATTGATAAATCCTAAGCATCACAGAAAGAATTGAACTAATTGCTATCAATTGGTCCCTTTACTAATACCAAACAATGTATACAGAGTCTAGCTCCATGGTCTAAATAAATCAGTGGTACCAAAAGTTCGAACAAGAAATGGAACCCAACATTATATGACAAATTCCAAAATGTTCGAAATTTCACCTAAAAAGTCTAGCTTTAAAGATCAATCTCTTCTTCTCAAGAATGTCAAATTTTCTAGTTTAACCTATCAACGAAGCAAGAAAGTTCAAAATTTGAGCTAAGCTCGAAACAGGATGTGACTTACAGTAATTCGTCCCTCAATCCTCAAATCTTTCTGCTCAAAAAGCCAAATCTGAATCCGAGCTTTCTGCATCATAAGAACCAGACTCTATATAAGTACACATCTCACAACTCAATGGTTCCCAAATAGAGTTACAAGTGACGAAAATTAACAGAGTAATCGAAAAACTTACACTTTGGAGGAACCTGAAAATCAGATTCTGAAATCAAAAGTAAAGAAACCAAAAGTCAGAGTCAGTGAATATACAAGAAACAAGAGAAAAAAAAAAATCAAATTGGTAAAAGAGAAATGGAAGAATTTACAATGGGTTGGGTCATAATCCTCTGAACTTTGGTGCTCGCCATGGTTGCTGAAGTTGCAAGTGTTCTTCGGAGCTCGAAAACTCAGTGAAGAAGATTTTCTAAAACCCTAAAACTTGCAATATCAATTTCTAATTCGATTTTCTGATTTTTCTCTCTTAGTAGCGAGAGCAAAATATTTTACTTTTCGACTTTTATATATATTTTTACTCTTTAGTCCTCCGAAATCTGTTGGTTTTTCATTTTTCTCCCCGCAAAAAGTTAATTTGACTTTTTAGACCCATTACTACTATCTCCAAAACATAAGAAACAGAGTTTAAAGAAAGAAACATCGATCATGTTTACAATATTTCAAAACAAGAAACTGAGTCTACCTGAAGACGTTTGCTTGAATCTTAATTGAATAAAAATACTGAAACTTTCACCTTTAGATTACCATCTTTTTTAATAAATTACACAAAGTTAAATGCATCACTAGCACAACAACAACAACAGTAGCAGCAAAAGCTGGACATAGATATCACTACTTTGACTAATTGATGGAACAGAAGAAATACAGAAAGAATCAGCCTCTTTTTTTTTTTCTTTTACAACTTCTCGATAATGCGAAAGATAGAAAAGAGTTTCCTCAATCATTCGCCGTTGATCATTAATGACTGAAAAGGAACCTTTTTGATCTCTACAAAAGTCGAATAATCACTCTTCATCGGTTGTTTCCATGGCTCACCATCCATTTGCAAGAATGCATTTTTCCAATCACCTCCTCTTAGTTCAAATCTAATAGCAGCCGCCTGAAACGATAAACGGTTTAAGATCAAACCGAGGTTACACCAGTTCGGTATAGAGAAACTGCGGGTATATTTTGTAGTACCTGAGCAATGTGTTTAGCTGAGATGATTTGAGCCATTACAAATGATGCATGCCAACCTTGCTTTAAACCGAATATCTCTATCAGCCCGTCGTCACAATGCGCCTCCACAAATCCTCTCTGTTATAGAAAACCCGAAAACCGTTCTGTTAAAGCTTGTGGAGAAAGCGATAAAACCGAAGATTAGTGTACTGAATAAAAATTTACCTTCTCTAAATATTTTGGTCTGAGATTACCCCATGGATGTCTTCCACTTCCATAGTTATAAAGATTCAATACCACAATCGATCTCACACTATACAAAAACCAAACCAGAAAGATTGTAAGTGAAGCAATTTTTTAAGTTTTTTAATCAATGACAAGATTAGTTTTTTTGTACCTTTTAGGAACATGGATCTCTTCCCATTCGGAACAATTTGCCTTTTTAATATGGATTTTCATTATGTTTCTTAGTCCCCTGCAAATTCATCTTACCACAACATGTCAACACATCAACACAATAGGAGATAGTAGTTGAGTACAACATGGAAACAAAGGCATTTACTCTCTTCACTTGAAATGCTAACCTTAGACCTGGATTGTTGACACAAGGCGTGCAAAACCAACCCTGAGTGCAACTGTAACTCGAATAAATAATCTGCAAAACCAAAACGAGTGTGATTCATAATCTTATTACAAACCCAAAAAACCAGCTAATTAGTGCAACATAGACAATAATGAAGATTCTGATAATATAACAACCTTATTTGTAACAGGGCCTTGAGCTAGATACGGTTTCTCATTGCGAAGATGGTGGAATCCGTATGCAACTTGAGCATCCATACCTTGACAACACAAGAAAATACCAAATTACTTCAAAAGGTTAACTTTGTAGAAATTTATTTAGAATAATGAAAAGATAAAGTTAGTTAATGAATCCAAACCTATGCTAAAGTAGTTGTAGAACACTCCTTCATAAGACTTTGCTTTAGGAGGTACATCACCATCAGCATCCAAAGCCTGATCAAGTGCAGTTTCCTCTGTTGTAGGCTTCAAAGAATAAGGAGGATCAACGACTTCTCCAGATGGCATCGACACTACAATCTTCCAGCTATCTAATCGAGAAACGGAACCTAAAGTTGCTCGATGTAATGTTCTTTTCATAGCAGATCTCCAAGCAAAAGGGAATGAACCACCCCAACCAAAACTCCTGGAGAGGTCATTTCCTGTACCAAGAGGTATAACTCCAACAGGAGGAATATGTGATTTTCCGTCTTTATGAAGCTCACCGAGACATCCAAGAACCCAACCAACCGTACCATCACCGCCTGCTACCTGTCATCATCATCACCACTAACTTAGCAAATCTAATTCCAATTGCTAACTAATGCTTTGGAAGTAAATGTATATATAAATACTCACCATGATCCGCATCTTTTCTCTGCATTCTCTTGCACATTCATCTCCTTTCGCTGCCAATGTCTCCAAGCAGGCCAAACCGTACCGTACAAATTCATGAGGCTTCACTTCTGTGAGATCAAATACCTGTCATTGCAAAATCAACATGAGCTCACAAACTAATTACAAATACCAAAAGAGCACATACAAAAATAACTTCACAATACTCCAAATTATGTCATCCTTTAAACAACAACAAAATTTGCCTACAACAATTCAAGAAATAATAAAGTTTCCACTATTGCATGACAACAAAGGTTCTAACTTTTACTACCAAGAACATCAGCTAATCAAAATCCTACACATGAATCACAATCTTTTTAAGAAAAATCAGTTTATAACTTCTCCTTAACAAAATTAGAGAAGAAACAGAACATTTGATCATATCAGAACAACAAGAATGTCCTAGCTAAACCCACTAAACCAAAAACCAAAAACAGAGTAATTCCATTCACAATCTAACCACAAATCCAGTGAAGTCAAAAAGAAAGTAAACCCAAATCTAGATTTAAAATCTTATTCAAATAAGAAATGTACCAAAACCATGAATTAAGAATCTCAAGTTCATTTCAAAATTTAAGTAAAGTGAGCTCATTTCATAAGTTATCAAAAAAAAAAGTTTTGTTTTTGAAAGAGACCTGTTCTTCAGTCATCAATTGTTGAAGCCTCTCTTTAAGAACAGGACCATGACGACCACCACTTTTCGGGTTAATGAACACAACCATTGGCGCGTGAGGAGCCATATCTGCGGCGGCGCCGCCAGGAAGTAGCAAATGATCAGGAATCTCCGTTGAATCTTTCCGCTTGATACAATCTCTCATAGCTAGACGAAGATACTCAGGCATCGCTAGTCTCCCTCGAAGCTCTTCTCTGTCTATACCAACCAATGCAAGATTAGCAAAACCACAACCTTTCATCGTCACTGCATCGGTCTTCGCCGACGACGGTCTCGCCGCCACGAAATTAGTCGTCGATGCCTCGCCGACTGACCTCGGCGTCTCCTCCATTATCAAATTCTTCGAGAAACAAAAATTAAAAATAAAAATGAGACAATTCTCAATAAGACTAAATTGACAGTTCTGTGTTTTGTTTTTTAAGATTACTTTTCGAAGACAGAGCAAATCAAAATCGGTGTACTTCGATGTGCGTATTTAAACGTGTGTTGATTTTCCCAAAAAGAGTTTATTTTTTTATGACATTTTTAAAAAAAACGACAAGAAAAATGCCCCTCTAAGCACTGTGTATTTACATAATTGCCACTAATAAGTCTTCTTGATTTTTATGTGACCATTTTTTTAAGGCGAGTGACAAGGAAGTTTTCATAGTTGTACATTAAAATATTTTTTTATTTCTTACCCTAATATAGTAGAACCTCTATAAATTAATACTCGATAAATTAATAAACACGATAAATTAATAAATTTTGTCGGTCCCGAGTCGGGCCAGTGTAAAAATTAACCAAATTCGATAAGATAATAAGATAATAAGTTTTTTGAAATCTCTATGTAAAAATATAGTCCCAATAATATCATAAATTAATAATCATGATATATATATATATATATATCCCTGTGTAAAAATATACTTTTAGTGTTTTCATAAAAATAGCCAAAAGCTTTTGTAAGTTTTCAAATTTTGAATATGCATAATTTTTGTTTTAATAGTCGTATAGGTTTTTAAAATACAACAATGGATGTCACTATTTGTGAATTCACAATTGAAACAAAACTTTCTATAAATTAATATATAGTGTAAATTAATATTTATTAATTTATGGATAAATTAATATCACTATAAATTAATAAAATATTATGGTCCCAACATTATTAATTTATAGAGGTTTTACTGTACCTGCATATTTTGATATTTGACTATTAAATGCTGCTGCTTGTCACGTTAAGATAGTAAAAAGGGTAAAAGGGACAATTAAATGAAGCAGTGGACTGTGTCAGGATGTGACATATGGGCCGCATATTTATGATTATTGCCCTACTGGGTGTGCTGTGTTATTAAATCGTGAAGCTGCCCAATTCAATATTCATTTTTCTTTTCTGGTTAGGAGATATGCATTTCTATTTATTGCATCTTATAACCGGTGAGTTACATAACTATTTATTTGAATTTTCATTTTACATAACTCACGTATGGGCCGAGGTGTTGAATTTTAGGACCCATACAACAATTTTCTTATACTTTTAAGGCCCATTATAGAATATGGGTAAATGGTTTATAGTCCAATAGTGATGTAAAGGGGCCTAAACTTTCCACAAATGCTCTATACATTAATTCTCATGCGTTAGTTCTTCAATGTAAACAATCTTATGCAAAGGTAGAAAGGTGAGTAATTTGGATAAATCGAATAGATTCAATCCAAATGTAACTGAATAATCGATCCAAAAATGTATATATGTATGGTTAAAATTGTTCAACTGTTTAAACTTTAAATTGATAAGAAACCTGAAACCAAATTTTAATCGAAATAAAACTTAAATTCTTGTAAAAATTGAGAGCTGTTTAACTAAAGATAAAATCCGCATCACATCGCTTCATCTATAGCCGTCTTTATATTTTAGTTTTGTTTCTAGGGCCAACTTAATTATTTTCAGGATTTTAATAAATAAAAATGCAAATGAAAGTCATTCTTGTTATTGGTTAGGCATCCTTTTCCAATCATAAATAAAATTTGGTAGCTTTCAAATTAATCTTAAATTGGATCTTTAATAAAAACTGAAAAGTATTTAAAACGAGTCAGCATATAGAGAAGATATAAATAGGTTTGAGGGTAAAAAGTGCATAGAGTGATATAAATGGAAGGAAATCGGAAGACTTGCAGAAAGTTGTCGACCGTCGACGTGAGAGGTGGACATGTACACATATTCACATTTTATCAACGTCAAAGTCTTGAAACCGCGTCAAAGAAAAGATTTTACGAGTTAAAGGAAAACAAAAATCCAAACATTATGCGAATCAACATGTTTTCAGTTCGTTGTTTCTGAACGGAATCAAATTAGTTATATTCTTCAAGATGAGGAGTTTAAATTGTAAGGAAAAAAACAAATACACGTCATGCTATAATCTACATGGACTCGTGCATTTGGAAGTAGTGGGACGTAATGAGTCGGCATATGAACCCAAACAAGGCTTCAGCTCGATATTAGTTTCACGGCTAAATTAGAAAAAGCTTAAGTGAGTGGTTAAGGCTGCTGCTTAACCTCCTCTTCCTCTGACACTGAGGTTCGCCTATATATACGCTTACATAAAAAGATTAATATATAGACTATATATAGTGTATCTATCAGTTAACCAAAAAAATTTGAAGTGGGATGATTTTTGTATGATCCGGATGATGTTTATTAAAACAAATTATTGTATACTTATAATTAAAATATAATAAAATCAAATTGACAGTGTTTTAATTGTGTGATTTGTGTTTATCAATTCGAGTGGCTAGCCCTGTTTGGAAGTGTCATGGACTCGTGGTATTATAGTCTTGAACTGGGATGATACTAATATTCAATTATGCATGGATACATCATGCATATATATATATATATATATATATATCCAAGTTTTGAATATATGTAATTTCAAAGATTAGTCTGACTGAATATCATTAGAAATTCATTGATCATAAAAGAAAAATGCCTAAAATATAATATTGTAATTAAGGATGTTTTGAAAGAAATAAGTGTGGCATCATGTGACACTTGAATCACTCAAAGTACAACACATAAGAATTTGTATTTATCATAAGAAAGAAAAGCGAGCCATCAATGTGATTCGGCCCTACCAATAATGAACTTAATGGGTTTAGTTGAGATTTAAGAATGGGTTTTGTATCTTAATGACAGTTTAGTTTAATTTTTATAATAAATCCTTCATTACAGATTTTGATTTGCATGCCTCTGATCATTGGAGCATCAAATGGAGAGGCCCTTTATATATGAAATATGATACTTATCATTTACGTCAACGTACATTAGTTTATTTTCATTTTGGGTCATTTGCAAAATGAAATTCGTTTCAAAAATTAATCAACTGCTTAAATATCTTGCTTTTTATTTTGTTCAATACAACACCTCTTACTAACGTTAGCATACCATCGCTTATAGCAATAAAGATGAAATTCTCAATTCATATTTACATAAACAAGTAAGTTTGTCGGAAAAAATAGTTATTGTTTGCCACCATAGTGGAAGAACAATGGGGTTTTGAAACAGTGATGGTTGTTCTTTAACTATGTCAATGTGGGGTTTTTTATTGTTAGGTGTTCCCATGGACTTCCCATGGACTCTCTAAAATGTCTAAAATAGCTGAACAACAGAAAAGATTCCATGGAATAAATGTTTTGATGGTCAATAACTCCTATTTAGAATTTCACACATAAAGTAATTATTGGATTCCACCTTGGCTTGAAGAGGTAATGGCATGAAATCAAAACCCACAAGCTTAATAATCGGATATCGATAGAAAAACGTAGAGTTTGATAAATAAAATGACTTTAAAAAGCGATTATCGTTATGACGAGGCATAATTAAATTATTATACTGGAAATAGAACAAATGATAGAATTTGGTGAAATATATTAATAGAATCCTTATCGCGAAATGAATATTCTAAATAAAACGTTTTTACTCAATAATTCTTGTGTTCGGGGTTCTATTCCATTAGTACTCGGATGTTTCGATATTTGGTGAATTATGAATACAAAAAACTTTGGACAAGTGAAGAACTAAATTGCGCTATCTAATCTTAGACTTATGATAGTCTCTCTATACATTAAATAAGTGTAGAGAGAAAAGAAATCGCATTTAAAATTTTTGCTCCTTTAAAATGGAAAAGGTAGACCTTTTTGGGGAGTCCCTAACGCGTCAAAGAGAATTCAACTTTTTCATGATGAATACATTGATTGCACAACTAGTCGGTACCTCTCATCTTTAATTGGCCTACAATATTATGGTGGAAAAAAATTGACTCAAACATTGAATAGATTTTATAAACTTAGAGAGGAAAGTGTTAGCTGTTTTGTTAACAAAATGTTACAAGCTCGTCTATAAAATGTTTTGTGAAGTTTAGAAAACTCAAGTTTCCTTTTCATGACTTAAGTACTTAGCTGTTTTTTTCTACACTCTACCATTCTTTTAATGATTAGTAACACACCAACACTTAGGGCTTGATTGGTTCTCCCGCTAGCACCCTCCTAGCGGTTGCTAGCGGTTGGTTGCGGTTGTTAGCGGTTGGTACCAATCATAGAAACCGCTCCGTCCCGCTTCGAACCGCTCGAAATCGCTGAATTTCAAAAGCTCCTTCCTGCAAGCGTTTGCGGTTGCGGGCGGTAGCGGCTGGATTAAAAAAAAAAAAAAAAAAAAAAAAAAAAATCAAACATTTACTTATAATTATTATAATATATATTAATCCTATATATATCTTTAATCTTTGTATCACTTTGTTTCGATTTGTTTTCTCGAATAGAAACTCACTTGCTTTTTGATTGAATTCAACGTTATTTACAGTTTGTCCCATTACTTAATGCAATTTTTTATGTTAAATCAGATGCATAAAGTACTATCTTGTTACAAAATTTCTTTATTTTTGAATAATTATTTAGTACTTTATTTATGGTTTTAATTATTAAGCATGTTCAAATTTTTCTAATATTATCATAATAATATATTGGTGTTTTTATTTCTTTTTTTGTAATATTTTTTATTTATTTTGGTCATTTTTTTATTTAACTGCTATCGCATCCGCTGGTTTACCAGTCATAAAACTCCCGCAAACGCACCCATTTTCAAACGCTAAACCAGTCGTTCAAAACGCTTGAAAACGCTTAAAGCCGCAACCGCCCGCTTCCGCAAACTCCCGCAACCGCAACCGCAACCGCTGCGTTTAAACCAGTCAGACCCTTAATTTGAATATGAAAAAGCTATTGGTTTAATTTATTTGAAACGGTTTAGGAGTGGATCAATTTTACGGTTTGTCTCACTCTAATTATGTTTTCAAAATTCTATCGCATAAGATAGTGCATTTTAACTAGGGCAAACTTTTCATTTCCATTTATAACTCGAAATAAAAATTTATGTTATATTCGGAACAAATTTATAAATTGAAAACTTATACATAAACATCTGAGTATTAAATTATTTAGTAATATTGAAGCACTATAAAACATTTTAGTATTGCTGTCAAAAGAAAAGAAAAAGACAGAAATAAAGGGCAAAATAGTAAATAAGTGAGATAGGCATAAAAGACACAGTAGGTCGACAAGAGTTGTACGTGAAGTTGTAATAAATGCAGAAAGCTGAAACTCTTTAACTTCTTTTCAAACAAACACTTTTTTTGTTTATCGGTCTTCACAATAAAACTATTCTCTTCTTTGCGTCAGCTTTTTTTTCCCTTTTTCTCTCTAACTACACGACAATTTCCATTTTCTCGGAGACCATTATTTTGGATCCAAGAAGAACCCAAAGACCCGATCGTAGACATGGTACACAATTACACATTATTCGGTTTGCAATGTAAACCAGAACAATAGGTCAATCGAATATAGTCCAAATCTGAATACGAAGAAGTTTATTCGTTATGTCCGCATTGGTCTACTTCATGTTATATATTGTTAGTTGATTTAATCTTATATGTCTCATTTACATAACAAGAAAATTAAATGTGTGGGGATTTTAATAGCAATAAGTCCGAGTCGCGGATGCATTGTCTCTTCAAAGTTCTATTCATCAGTCTCTAAAAGCAATAGTGAGTTATTTATTTTGCTTGATTTTGATCAAAGATTGAACTTATGCTGGTTAATAATCTTTATATTGGATAATGTGGCTAAAGACGATGTAACCAAGCGTTTTGAGGAACACAAATTAGAAGAACTCTTATTCATATAGTTCTCAAATGTTTTTATATAATCGGATATACACACATGTAAAGTTTATTAGAGACACCATAGAATAAAATAAGTAATTGGCGCTACAAATTTCATTTAAACTAATTCGAATAATCTAAACTACAACGCTAAATGAATCGTCAATATAAGCTTAGTGACAAACTGACAATGTTAGCGCATACATTTAGTAATTATAATAATTAGTTGCAAATTTACTATATATTTTTCTAAATCATTACTACGCTAATACTAGTAATAATTAAAAGAAATGATTCGAAAGTTGAAAGAAGAGGTGTAGAATTGGACAAGAGAAGAGTATAACAGAGAAAAGTTTGGTGTAAAAAGGCTGCAAAGGAGTTTGTTAAAAAGTGAGTGAACTCGATAAACGCGTAACCCTAAAGGCAAAGCGTGCGTTACTCTTACCCCAATTATTTTATCTTTTCTACTTTTTCTTTCTTTCTATAGAAAATGATTACCGCATTTTTAAAGCTAGTATTTGATTTATTTTTATAACGACTACAATATTTCATGACGATGGTAAATCGCACGAAAAAGAGTAATGTGATTCGACTACTAGGCCGGTTTTTTTCCCCTTTGTTTTGAAGTTGTCAACGATTAGTTTTTGGGTATTCATTATGAATCTCGTTGTTTATTATTCATTTTATAATAAGTTGGATTTCATAGTAAATCAAAAAGAAAGTGTAAAACGTATATAATTGTTGTATGAAACATGAATATATATATATTTTTACTTTCCTTTCATGTGGAGTCTGTAGGCTATATCTATAGCATTATTGGTTCTGAAAATTGAATCTTTCGTAGGTACAGTATTAAGTTTCGTAGACATATTACAATGATGAGATGTAACAAATGAAATAAGGACAATTTGTTTGGTGTAGAAGTAAGAGTCATGTAGCACAAAAAGATTGTCTATTAAATGGTCTCTGAATTTATTGGGTCGGCTCGCACATCTCGGCACATGTGATGACCTTACCATTCTTGTCTCTGCATTTAATATTCTTTATCCAAATAATGATACAAGTGAAGTTGGTAACAAAATCAATCCTCAATGTTTTGTAATTTCTTTCCTTGTTCCAAAAGGATGTCAAGCTGTCGTGCAGCCATTGGCTATTGTGATTTGGTGTAATTCAAGTTTAGCGTTGTTATCTTGCTTCGATGGAAAGACATTTAATCAAATTTATGATCTTTAAATCGAGGAAATGCATTCGCAACCCTTATGTTACGTTCTTTTCAATTTGTTTTCCGGTTCTTCTGCTAGAAAAGTTAAACGTTCTTTTCAAAATGATTGTGACACTTTGGATTGTATTTCAGTTCCAAATCTAAAAGCAAGATTTTTTTTTTTTTTTTTATCTAAAAGCAAGACTGGCACATGATCGATACATTAAACACACAGAAGCTATAATAGTTTGAAGCAATAATTGTCTAAAAACTTGTACTCTAATTCTCTCAATTTTATAAATATGTAAATTCTTATGATAGTAATAAATAGCTTAAAAGACATGAATCAAAATTATGAGTTTTTTTTTAAAATAACATCAAAATTGTGATATTTTCATGTAATATATATCTTCTTTCTTTTTTTGTCCAAAGGAGTAAAAAATATTCAAACTCGTAAAAATTTATGTGTTCTACCTTTTAATTTTATCTTGTTTTTTGTTTTTTAACTTCAAAGTTAAGTTTTACTCCAAAATTTACTACTACAATTTATTTCCAAAATTCTAACTAAAATAAAATACTCCAATTAAAATAAAAATAAAAGAGCTTTTGGATCGGCGGAAAAGAGACAGGAGAGAGATAAAAAGGCAAATACGAAAAGGTAAAAAAGCTTTTTGAGTCGATTCCTTTTGCAGGGATTGCGTGTGAATTACAGATATTTCGTTTTTAAAGCTAAACAAAAACAAAACAAAAAACCCAAAAAAAAGATTTTAAAAAGGAATAAAAAAACTCACAAGTCTTCAACAGCGCGTGACATACACGGATCAGCACCTAAGCTTATCACGAGTCACAAAAGTACTCAAGCAATTGTCGTACACTCGCCACTTTAAAACGCGTGAACACTTTTGTCTCATTACTCTGACTAGATTCAAACTTTTATTTCGTCATCAAAACTTTATTAGTTGCTACCTTTTTTTATTTTCCACACTCATCTGAAATTAGTAATTTAATTTTTGCTTTTTCCAAACGTTTAATTAGTACTAGTAAACATCAATATCAAATTTCTAATCTTTTCCATATAAAGTTAATTTTCAACCGTATAGCAGCAACTTACAAAAAACGTTAAAATGTTCTTCCATCTTGTGCATGAACTTGTAGTCTTTGATGGTTATTTAAATAGAAACACTAATATCTTCTACAATACTTATATTACTACAGTACACTAAATAAAAGAATTACGAAAGATAGACACTGAAAACAGAGCATCGTACTCGTCTTTTTTAGACCTATCTCGGTACCTATTTTGAGTATTAATTCTCTGTCAACACAAATATTTTAATCTTAACAATTACTAGATGATAATTGGTCTAAATATGAAGAAATTAACCAATTTTCAAACCAAGTTAATGACTTTGAGGCATTTGTCCCACTATAGTCTATAGCCGCAGACACAAAAAGGATACTTTCGTAATTTCAAATGATGCTCCTTATAATATTTGGCGTCGAATAAATTCAAATAGATTAAACATTGAAAAGCTGTAATGAGAGAGTTTTTAAGTTCTTGTGAAGGCAAATGATCCAATCTTTCCTTTTCTTCAACGATTTCTTCTTTTTCCCACGCGCTCACACACACTGCGAAAACCACAGAAACAGAGAAAGAGAAAGACAATTCAAACAAAAGCTTCGTTTTTTTACCTTTCTGTTGATCGGCTTTTGTTTTTCCTGTAAAAAGCCATCTTTTGTGTTTGATCCTTTCTCTTTTTTTTTACCTGATAAAACAACTTTTTTCCTCTGCATTTTTTCGTGACCCTTCACATTTTAAATATCTTGTGGCCGGTCCAAAAAGTTCTTTATGCAAAGGTTTCTTCTTTCTTTATAAGATAAACAAAAGTTGAAGAAACCAAAAAACAAAAAACTTCTTGTTGAGAAAGTTTTCTTTGAGATGAGAGCAGATTTGATTACTATACAGCAAACGCTGACGCCGGAAGCAGCGACGGTTCTTAACCAGTCGATTGCGGAAGCGACACGTCGTAACCATGGCCACACGACACCGTTACACGTGGCAGCTACTCTCTTATCTTCTTCCTCTGGTTATCTCCGACAAGCTTGTATCAAATCTCACCCTAACTCTTCTCACCCACTCCAGTGTCGAGCTCTTGAGCTCTGTTTCAGCGTCGCCCTCGAACGTCTCCCTACAACTACTATAACAACCACTACTTCGTCGTCTTCTTCTTCTTCTCCGTCGCAAACGCAAGAACCGCTTCTTTCAAACGCTTTAACCGCAGCTTTAAAACGCGCTCAAGCTCATCAACGACGTGGTTGTCCTGAGCAACAGCAACAACCGCTTTTGGCCGTGAAAGTTGAGCTTGAACAGCTTATTATATCGATTCTTGATGACCCGAGTGTGAGTCGGGTCATGCGTGAAGCTAGCTTCTCTAGTCCCGCCGTGAAATCAGCGATCGAACAGTCGTTGATTGGTAACTCTGTTTCTAGTTCGAGACAAACCGGGTCACCCGGAATTATTAACCCGTCTGCAATTGGGTTTGGTTATCGATCCGTACCGGCTCCGGTTAACCGGAATCTTTATCTTAATCCCCGGTTACAACAACACGGCGTTGGGATGCAAAGTGGGATGATGATACAGAGGACAGATGAAGCGAAACGGGTCATCGAGATTATGATCCGAACCCGGAAACGTAACCCGGTTCTCGTCGGCGATTCAGAGCCTCAAATTCTGGTGAAAGAGATTCTAGAGAAGATCGAGAACGGCGAATTTTCCGACGGTCCGCTTCGTAATTTCCAGGTGATTCGTTTAGAGAAAGAATTAGTTTCACAATTGGCGACGAGGTTTGGTGAAATCTCCGGTTTGGTGGAGACTCGGATCGGTGGTGGAGGTGTTGTTCTTGATCTCGGCGATTTGAAATGGTTAGTGGAACATCCGGCGGCGAATGGCGGAGCTGTGGCGGAGATGAGGAAGCTTCTGGAGAGATTCAAAGGAAGGTTATGTTTCATTGGTACGGCTACTTGTGAGACTTATCTTCGATGTCAAGTTTATTATCCATCAATGGAGAATGATTGGGATCTTCAAGCTATTCCGATCGCCGCCAAATCGTCTCTTCCGGCGATATTCCCAAGGTTAGTGCTTTATTCAAATTGAAGTTTTGATTTTTTTTTCATAATTGAAGTTTTGATTTTTGACAAGGTTTCAATTTTACTGATTAGTTTTTGTTTTGATTAGACTTGGGAGCAATAACAACAACAATAACAACAACAACGCTATGTTATTAAGCAACAACATCATTTCAATTGAATCGATATCTCCGACGAAAAGCTTTCAGATTCCGACGGGTAAAATGAGCTGTTGCTCTCGGTGTTTGCAGAGTTATGAAAACGACGTAGCTAAGGTGGAAAAAGATTTAACCGGAGATAACCGGTCGGTTTTGCCACAGTGGTTGCAGAACGCTAAAGCTAACCATGATGGTGACAAGAAACTGGTAAGTATTTTGATTGTTTTCCAAGATATTAAGAAAATAGAATGTGAATTAAATCTTGATTTTTGTTTTTGGTTTTCGTAGACTAAAGATCAACAGATTGTGGAGTTGCAGAAGAAATGGAACGAATTATGTTTGCGTTTACATCCGAATCAGTCTGTGTCTGAAAGAATGGCTCCTACGTTGTCTATGATAAAATTAAACACAAGATCGGATATAACTCCACCGGGGAGTCCGGTTGGGACAGATTTGGTTCTTGGACGGCCCAACAGAGGTTTATCCTCACCTGAGAAGAAGACCCGAGAAGCGCGTTTTGGAAAGCTAGGAGATTCATTCGATATCGATTTATTCAAGAAGCTACTAAAAGGCTTAGCGAAAAGCGTTTGGTGGCAGCACGATGCAGCGTCTTCGGTAGCAGCAGCGATTACAGAATGCAAACACGGTAATGGGAAATCGAAGGGCGATATATGGTTGATGTTCACAGGTCCAGACAGAGCCGGGAAGAGCAGAATGGCATCTGCGTTATCGGATCTTGTATCGGGAAGCCAACCGATAACCATCAGCCTCGGTTCTGGTTCTAGGACAGATGATGGTTTAAACATCCGTGGTAAAACAGCGTTGGACAGATTCGCAGAGGTGGTTAGGAGAAATCCTTTTGCAGTTATTGTTTTGGAAGACATTGATGAAGCAGATATATTGCTACGTAACAACGTGAAGCTAGCGATGGAACGAGGGAGAATCTGTGATTCGTATGGGCGCGAGGTTAGTCTAGGGAACGTCATTATAATCCTTACCGTAAATTCATCGCTCGGTTCAGCGGAAAATGTTGCTTCTATCGATGAAACAAGACTAGAGTCTCTGGTGAACAAAAGATGGCAGTTAAGGCTCTCTATTTTCAACAGCAGCAAAACCCGAAAACGAAAACCGAATTGGCTTTATAGCGACAATGACCAAACAAAACCGAGGAAAGAGATCTGTTTCGACTTGAACGAAGCAGCCGAATTCGATTCATCGAGCGATGTAACAGTGGAGCACGATCAAGAAGATAATGGCAACCTCGTTCACAAGCTAGTCGCTTTAGTAGACGATGCTATACTCTTTAGACCGGTTGATTTTGATTCGATCAAGAGCAAAACCGCGGAATCTATAAAGAAACGTTTCTCTAACGGTCTCGCGGATGGATTAACGGTGGAGATTGAAGACGATGCTTTGGAGAGAATAGCCGGTGCGATTTGGCTAAGTAAGATTAGCTTAGAGGAATGGATTGAAGAAGCAATGGGTTCGAGCTTGAATAGCGTGAAATCTCAAGCTTCTTCTTCAGAAGATTCTGTGATTAGGATTGAGCTTGAAGATGATTTAAATGATCGAATCTCCGGAGGGTATCTTCCGAGTAGTATCAGGACGGTGGTCGTTTGAGTTTTTCTTCTTTCTTTCTTTTTTTCCCTGTGAGGGGTAGATTCGTAATTATGAGAATTGGTGAGGGTAAAAATGTAAATATTATGATGTCTCCCAACCGTCTTTTTGGCGGGGTGGGAAAGAGTTCGGTAAAACATTTAAAAACAGTAAAAAAAAAAAGTTTATTATTAAAATCAACGGCTGAGAATATACAGGCTTATATATGAAAGAAAGTAGAAAGTTAGATACTACTTCCACAAAAAGAAATGGAGGAATCTCAAGATATTAAAATGTTGAAAAAATAATGAAAAATAGAGGTTTTTATTGGGGACATAGTGGATATTTTTTAAAATTCAAGGTTACATTTGATTATTCTTTCGTATGTTTCTTCTTGGAGTTTTGTGGAATATATTATAGTCTCTTAGCAGATCGAATTTTATGGAAAAACTATATAATAAGTTTTGTAATATTCAGGAGACATTAATTTCAGTAGAAAGTTTTGTACTTTTTAAATATTAGGTGGGTTCGGCTAGTATGTGGTTTGTCTTTATTTCACCTTTTTAGAATGAAAGCAGCAAATCCAACCACTCCCATGGACCAAATATTTATTAAATAAAATCCTTCGACAATATCATACTATTAATAATAATAACTCATAGCTTTTTTTTTTATATATTTATATGACATTTTTGTTGGAATTTTTAGCTAATGATTTAATATCATTCGAGATAAGTTGGAGTAAAGCGAATATTCGTGCTAAATCAAAGTAGTGATTAGTGATATTAATACAAGGAAGATTGATAATGATTTTTTTAACAAAAAAAGGTTGATAATGTTTCTTACTTGATAGCCAATTCAAGGAACCTCGTGCATGTTTATATTCGTTATTTTGTATAGTTCCGGTGGAGTTGTTCCACTATATGATGTTTCTAATCACTTTAATTATTCGTATACAACAAATTTTGGACATGGTGTGGTCTTACTTATAAAAATTTAAAGCATGAAAGAAAATTCTAATCTCATAGCTCATATTCTTCCGTTTTGGGGTCAACACTCAACAGCTTATATTATCTAAACCACCATAGTTTTTAGAATTTTGGATTTATATATTGTATTATCTGCTCTCTTTTTAAAATATAAATCAACAAAATAATAATGTTATTCACATTTAGTCACGTTTTTAATTGATCTACGCCATCTATATCTACCAATTTTGTTTTGTCCACTGTTATCGGATCTTGAATAGTGTATTGACGTCTAGATACTCAACTTTGTTTGTATAGTTCATATACTTTAAATTAATTAGGATATTTGGGTTTTAATTTCACTGGAAATTAGTCGTCGTTGAGTGTCAATTTGGTCAATACGCGATTTAGAGAAATGTGAGTTCAAAACAAAGTTGAAAACTACCAAACCGGTTTGACCAAAACATGTTCCAAAATTCAAAATGTAAAGCGATCGGACCACACGTAGTGATCGGTCCTTTTGTGCTCTTGGGGTCATACTTTGAATTTATCATTTATGATGATGACCATTGATTCAAAGCTTCAACCTACAAACCGGTCAACTACCGATAATAAATTTAAACCTAACTAAACGTATGATAACAAGAAACGACTACGACACTTGATCATATCTAGTGATCTAAATTACATGACGCCATGGCTTTTCAAGTTCAATTTAGACTCCTAAGTCGAATTATAAATTACATCTACAAGCTAATCATATGTCATTACGAACTACGTTTTACCCTTTTTTCAGTCTAGCGAATTTCTTTAATAGCTAATATGAAAGGAGTAGTCACATTCTCTTTCATATATGTAAGTTGATTCATATGTATTGGACATTAATATCTAAATCTACCACTTAACAACTACATGCATGCCTAGTGAATTCACATGGTCCATATGCCTATGTATATATTTTTTTATATTGAATTTATATCTATCAAAATTCAGGCTAATTTTAAATTCAATATTCTATTAGCTATATATATCTAATTGATGAAAAACAATTTAGATCTTATTAGAAGTCTTTATTTTTTTTTAAAGTCTTCTAGACGACTGATTAAGTATACAATTTTTTTTTTTATATATATTTTGAATCGCTCAAACAAGTTGCTGCAGTAGTCGTGTTTTATTTTTGGCTTTTACAGGTCATATAACTCCGGTTCCCTGCTAGACACTTGAAGACAAAGCCTCCAAAACTGCCTTTTCTTTCCTTCGTGTTTTTAGATATTACATACAATATAGTAATATTTTATGAGGAAGATAAGGCTGAAGTTTTGTGGTACTTAGTTTTTATACAAAACTAAAAGCATATCCAATACTTTCGAGTATTAAAATATGGATTTGTTTAAATAATAAAGCAGGTCATAACCTAATTATTGACAACAAATAATTAAGGGGATATAATTTAATATTATTTTTGAAATAAAGGGTTTTTGCCAAAGAGAAGCACTAGAACAAGGAGAAGACAAACCAAAACATGCCTTTATATCATCCAATTATTTAGTTATATATATATGGACCTTATGGTCTCTCTCTATCTTTTTGGTGGATTTGCATTATGTCTCCTCACTTCTTAGTTAAATATATCATCTGCCAAAAGTGAGAAAGATTAAGCTATTAGACATTATAGTAGTTAAAAATTCTTAAATATTAACTTAGATTCAATTTATCTCACAGAAAGATTCATCATACACCATGCCAATACTTGATCTTGAAGTGACAAAAAGAAACTCATAATAACACCAATGTGAGGGTGTAATTGAATAGTCTTCAAGTGGAAAATAAAATAATGTAGCAAATGCTGCAACTTTACTCAAAGACCTATTTTCTATTTAATATATTTTCTAGTCTTTTCTCTTTTAATTATTGTAATTATACACATGAAAAGGATGCGAAGATAAATGATTTACGAATATAAGTATGTATTAAATTACATTATAACTAAAAGGGGTCGCAGATCTCAACCTTACATGATTGAAACCTAATGTTGAATTTTAGCTTTTTGGAAAGGGGACATGAACTTAACTTCTCTAGTGAGCAACTACACACTATAAGGTACAACTACTATGTCATCTCGTAACATCTATATGAATGCATGTTTTAAAAGGCTTTTCACATATTAATAAACGATTCAAAGTATTAAATATATGACAATATAATTATTGTGTTGAAACCAATGTTTTCATGGTTCTATTTCCGTTCAATCTAACTTTTTTTGCCATATACTAATAGTAATATTGTCATTCAAGACCAGAAATTTTATTTATATATTATATGGGACAAGAAATTTCTAGAAAACTTTCAATTAAAACTTTTTAAATCTACTACTCAGAATCCATGATTACATTGAACTGGTCCTGTGGCCACTCCGAAAAGATAACCCAAATATGTATGTAATCCTTTAATAGAGATTATGATTCTTTATCAAGAAATATAGATTATGATTTGATCCGACATCCAGGTCAGTAGAGAAAGCAAGTAATGAAGTAAACATTCTAACTTTTTCCCATGGACCAAACTCATCATTTGTATGATCTTTTATGTCCATAGATTAAGTGAGTCTATCTCTCTTAATATTCTTTAAAAAGAAACTTCTGTCGATAGCAATATGCAATATGCAATATGCAATATGCAACATGCTCAAGAAAATAAATAACCCTCTTTTTTTTCTTATCAACTTATCTTTCAATGTAACAGTAACAAGGACTGGACATATAGGGGCTTTGACGAATGGGCTTAGACATCCTTTTACTCCCGTGTTGGATCCATGAATTTGCAAGGTTCTTTACATAGGAATTAGGTTTGACTGTGATTTGTAATTGTACATAAACCACTTCAATTTCCTCATATTTACATTTAGAGGATCTAAAAACGAGTTCTTTAATAATAGTACAACAAAACAAATTTTCCAAGCTTATATTACAAAAGATGTTTTAGTGTACAAAATCAAAACCCGCCTTGAGTTTCTTCCTTTATGTCTCCCAAAGGACCAGGAAACTTAATCTGTAGTGTTCTTGTCATAAAAATCTCCTGTGAGATAAAGTCAGCTTCTTTTCCTGGTTATAAATCAGTCAATCATCATGCTCAGCAGAGAAATCAGGCTCTTCAGGTTTCTTAAACCGAGGCAATTCGACATCCTTAACTCTCTGAGCTGCAACACCGCGTCTTGTATTAGCAGCAAAACGCGATGCCAAAACCATAACTCCAAGGTTCATCTTTGTTCTAGGACTCTCCTCAACACACTCTTCTTTTTTTCTACTTCTTCTCCTACTTCTCCTTCTTCATTTTCCATTGATTCAATCACAGTGAGGTTATTCTCCATAACTCTTCTCTTGTACCTGCGCCAAGCCGCTTGTATGAAGCAAGCAGCCCAAGTTCTCCAATGGTGAGAGTAGAATCTGAAAGTATGTTGAAGCTTCTTGCTGTGTAACCGCCTAAACTGATTTGCAACAAACTTCAAATCTTCAGCTCGAAGAGCAAATGCTTCGACTTCTACTAAAGCCCTAACTGTTCTTGTAGAAGATGGTAAATTCAAGGTTGATTTTGGAAGCAAAGCCCAAGAAAGAAGTTCTTCCCCGCAGAAATCTCCAGGTCTAAGTATAATCGAGTTGAAGAAACCGGTTCGGCCTCCATTGGTTGTGGAACTCTCGAGTCTACCTCTGATGATGAAGAGCATCTCTGAGATCAAGTCACCTTCACGTACAAGGTAAGTCCCTTCGGTACACAGAGAAGAAACCAGGCGCTCACATATCGCATCGAGCAACTGATCATCCATTTGAGAGAAAAATGGGACCTGCATGATTCAGAGATAAAGTTGGGATAAAATCAAAATAAGCACTTCTGAGAGAAAATATCGCAATTAGCACTACAACCGGAAAACCAAAAATCTCAAACTAAAACCGAATCAAACTCCGGATTCAACACTCCTACTAAAATCCTAATACAAACAGATATTGCCAACTTTAGTAATTTGTTCTAGAGACAATCACGATAGTACTTAGCCAGATATGTCTCTTTTGGATAATTCTCTAAAAGTTGAACCATTTGTAGGATAAACAAATGAATAGAAAAACTTACTCTTCGAACAAGATCTAAACAAAGGTGACGTTGAATATCACGGCGAAGATCAGTGGGTAAACTTTGCAGCAGAACCTCTTCATCGACTCCTCTTGTTGCAAGCCACTTATACTGCTCATATCGTCTCACACGGTTTCTCAATTCTTCAGGAAGTTGACGATGTCTCATCCACTCCTCAGTGTCTCTTTTCTTCAATCTCCATTCCTCAAGCCGTACAGTCAAAGATTGCAGATATGTCTAACAAACAAAAGGCAAAACCAAAGAAACATAAGAACAAAAGCAGAGATTTCTAAAACTTATCCTAAAGCAGGAATCCATACCTGCATATTCCCAATGAGATGGGCAAAGAGGACAAGACCAAAGATTGCAATGAGAACAGCAAATGTGGTTTCGCCCATGAACATGGTCGTGGACAAATTCTGCCCATAAGAACTAGGATATGATAATAACAGGAAACAAACCATCAGATATTAAAACTTGTAATCAAAAGGGAGAGTAGTAATTGGTATCAAAGGCTACATTTTGATGATCTCTGTAATTACCTAAGCTGCTGCAATCCCCACCACAAACAGTAGAAATATCTTTCGAAGAAGTTTGAAGACACAACTTTTTTCGTGATTGCGTTCCCAAATATCCCATACTTGAACTCGCCATTCCGTGCATCACAGAGTTTAAACACTTTTGTGACATTTGCCCAATTCATCTGATTGTCGTCATACATTGAATCACAGTCTAAGTAATATAGCTGACAATTAACTAGGCCACGTTCTCTGTCGCATCGTGATTTCCAGCACGATGTATATCTATCGACCGATAATATATACCACGCAGCACCAAGTACCTGTCCCAACAAAAACATTGTAGCTTTGATTATCATCACAATAAGGAATGAAATAATGGACGAAGAAGGAATGGAATTCATACATGGCTAGCTAGCATGTATAGCAAAAGGTTATAAGCAGCTCCAGCCCACGCAGTCTTTGTAACCACTCCAGTCGCTTTAACGATTTGAGAACTTAACGGAATTATCAGATAGAATCTTGGGATGTATTGGAGGAGCACAATCAAAGCAATAGCATTGTTGTTATGATCAAACCGGTAACTTTTTGTGGTCGATATAACAAACCAGATAACTATCTGTGGAAGTGGTAACGTAGCGATGAGATCAATGATGAAGTCAGATTTAAGATACCTCCAAGCAATTGCCTTAGGATCCATCACAAGCTCACCTCTACCAAACACTCTAGTACTTGAATTAGGCGCAATGAAACCAGTCCTAAACTTAATGAAAATGTGCAGCAAGTAGAAAAGATCCGCAATTGTCCTGAAGAAAGTAACAAGAATGCTTAAACTCGTATCGGTCCTTGCACATGGATAGTTTTTATCTCCTCCTATAGCTGGCACGAAGAAATACAACGGGTCGATGAAGAGAGCAACCATACACGAGACAATGAAGACCCAATTCCATTTCAAGACAATCTCACTTCCTGGATCAAGAATTGTCTTGTACCATGAGACTTTAGAAGATTTGGACTTGTTGTTGCTAGCTTTAGAAGCATCAGTGTATCTAAGTCTATTTCCAGGTAAGAGATTATCAGGTCTAAGTGCTGAAGGTAAAGAGAGCTTATAAGATTTGCTCATTGGATCATTCACTGCCCAAATAGCTTCTTTGCGTTCTTTCCCCTCTGAATAAAACCTACAAAGCAATACAAAACTTAAATCTGTAATCTGAACCCTAAATAGAGATTTTAAGTAAAACCCAGTACCCAAAATCGGAGCTTGAGCTTTGATTTAATAGAATTCCACATAAATCTAAAGCAAAGTCTAGATTTTTATTTCTGGGCAATCAAAGTTGAAGACTTTCCAGGAACGTAAATCTAAGGAAAACACAGAAACTGAAGATGAGAGAACTTACATAAGAAGCTTGTCCTTCCTTAACTCCATTAGAAGAAGCTCAAGCTCAAGCTCGAGTAAAAAAAAACTTTTGATCTAAAGAAATTAAAATTGACAGAAGTTTTTAAAAATCATTTCTTTGATTCGTGTCTCTGACACTCTCACTCTTATTCTCTCTAAATCTGAGAAAGATTGTTGGTTTTGTTTAATTCCTCCGGAGAGGTTTGAAGAAGGGAATCACTGAGTCACGGGGACGAGTCAGAGAGCGTATCTTCTTTGCTTTTTTTCACCTTTAAGAACAGCAAATCGGAAGGATATTTGTTTTTTGGGAATATTTGAGCCATCGATATAAGACAAGAAGTCAACACATTTGACTAAAAGTGACATAATTTAGCTAATCAAAGTCATTATAGTTTACAATACTAATCACTAATTAGACAATGGTACGTAACAAAAACACTTTTTTAAAGTCTTTGTAGTCAGATCCAATCACAATCACTTACAACTTGGAATCACACATTTAAAAACCTACATGACATAACTTTGGAGGTGAAGCAGGTAAATTGAAATCACTTGTTAATCTCTGTAAAACAGAGAGTAAAAAACATTGTTAAACCATTGGCATAATAATCAAACTTCAAATTATGTTGAATTCTACAGAAACTCATCATTCTCTTATTGGATCAAATTCAAACAGGGAAGAAACAAAAGCTTCAATTGTGGAGCTTTGTAAAAAAGACACTGTACATGATTATTGATTTAAACCAAAATTGCTGCTAAACATGATCATAACAAATTAGACACACTTACAAAACTAATTAGAAAACTAAATTTTCTTCACTGAATCAAAAAAGTTCACCTTCTGGTCTCCATCTTCTTCCTTCTTCAAATCTATAAACCCTATCTCTACAAATCGGACAAGTCGAGACTTTGATCAACCACAAGTCCACACACTTGCGGTGAAACACATGTCCACATCGAGGAAGCTTCCGACACCACTGTCCTTGTCTAAATCCATCGATACAAACCACACAATCGTCGCTTCCGTACTCTGTAGTAGGCTCACGGAACTTGAATTGGGGAAGCCTCTTCACGCATCTTGGAGATAACCCATCTGAGTATTCGTGACGGCGATGGCGACGGAGACGGTGGCGATAGTTTCGTTGAAGAAACCAGTAGAAAGCGAAGAAGAAGGTGAAACCGAGAGACGTGAGGATAAAGAGGAAAGCGGTTACAGCTACAGGGATCATGATTAGACCTATGAGGAAGTTAGAGAGAATCTTCGTCGGTAGATTATTCGTGTTCGCTTTTGGTGGCGGAGGAGACGGAGATGACTCGCCGGAGATTGAGCCATGGTAGGGTATAGTTATCGACATCGGACGATTGCGGCGGAGATTAAAAATCTTCTCTTTTATACGAATCAAACTCTAATCCTGTTTTTACGGGCTAGATAAAGGAGAGATATTTATGGGTTTTGAAGATCGAAAATTTATTGGATTCAAAGTATGATGTCTGATAGATATTTATATGCGGGAATATTCGGACATCTTTTTCTTTTTAACTAGTTTTTGGCCCTTATGAGAGGAGCTCGTGACAGTCGTGAGAAAAGTCTGTTTTATACCAAATTTTTGATTAAAAATGATAAATTTAACTAGAAAGAATAAGATTATTTAAGCGTATAAAAACACAAATACAGACACGTTTCAAACAACGGGGTTCTAATAAATTACTATCTTTACTAAATTTGATTATACATAATAAGGTTTTGCGTTACAAGAAAACTAGAGGAGAAAACAAAGGGCGAAACCAGACAGATAAAGAATTGGTGATCACATTTCTGATTATAAAAAAAAAGGGTTCAGTTTTGGTTCCAATTATTATCTCTGAGCTTCCTATCTGGTAATGCCGAGTGGGAAGTGATAAGGACAATCCGACAAGGGCAGCTTCCTCGGTAACACCATTCCTTATGTCACCACCATACCTTCACATTCTGAAATTCTTTGCATCATTTTTAATATTATCTCGTTGTTTCTCACGTTTTATTCCGGTTCATTTTGCGGTTATGATCCGGTTATCTCCGTGGTTGAGATTGGTTTAGAATAATGTCTCCTTATCATGTTATTAGGCCCATTATAGGTTGCAATTTTTATTGAATATGGAACAATGGTCGAGTTTGTGGCAAAATGTTCACCGTGAAATGCACCGGACCTCGTAACGCCGTGCCTCACCCTTGCACTGGAAAATCCGTGACGGTCAAAATCGTTGACCATTGTCCCAGTGGCTGTGCTGCTACGCTCGATCTTTCCCGAGAAGCTTTTGCTCAGATCGCTAATCCTGTCGCTGGGATTATTAACATTGATTATATTCCGTAATCATTTCTTCCTATCCTTATCACCTATATTATTTGTTAATTTAGAGAAGCAGGATTTTAATTATGATATTGTTTATCTGTATTTCAGGGCCTAAACGTCGTTGAAGTTCTCAAGGAAAATAATGCTCAAGTCTAGAAAGTCCTAGGCCTTGAATGGTTACTAGTTTTTAAGTGGTTTTTGGTTTTTGTTTAAGGAAAAATCTATTTTTTCACCTTTCAAGATTTTAAAAAATTAGATTCCCTAAAATTTAGGAAAACTAGTTTTTGAGTGATTTCTCCAAGTTTCAAAGAGAAACTAAAAACCATGATTTTGAGGTTTTTGTGAAAAACTTTATTTTTCAACGTGATTGTGTTTCATTTTTGATTTTTTGATTTTTTTTAATTAATTTTTATATTTATAGCAAAAAACCAAAAACCAAAATTTTAAAAACCAAAATCCAAAAACCAAAATCTAAAAACCAAAAACTACTTAAAAACTAGTAAACATTCAGGGCCCTAATGGAACATGTACACACATCATGAGTTTTGTAATAGTATTTTGTAAATTTCATACTTAAAGTTTTTAAAACGTTAAAAACCGTAAGAAAAAAATCAAAATTTAAAACAAATTAAAAATTTGTATATTAAATTTACAAAATAATGCGAAACATGTTGAACTTGTGGAATCGGCTAACGATCAACTGACTAGGTCAAATGACAGGATCCAAAGTCCGGTTAGTTTTCACATTATTTTGTAAATTTAATAATTAAAGTTTTTAAAGTGTTCAAAACCGTAAAAAATCAAAATCAAATTTAAAAAAAAAATTTAAAAACTTGTATATTAAATTTACAAAATAATGCGAAAACATATTGAACTTGTGGAATCGGCTAACTATCAACTGATTATGTCAAATGACAGGATCCAAAGTCCGTTTAGTTTTCACATTATTTTGTAAATTTAATAATTAAAGTTTTTAAAGCGTTCAAAACCGCAAAAAAAAAGAGAAAAAAAATCAAAAATTTAAAACAAATTAAAAACTTGTATATTAAATTTACAAAATAATGCGAAAACATGTTGAACTTGTGGAATCGGCTAACGATCAACTGACTAGGTCAAATGACAGGATCCAAAGTCCGTTTAGTTTTCACATTATTTTGTAAATTTAATAATTAAAGTTTTTAAAGCGTTCAAAACCATTAAAAAAAAAAAAATCAAAATTTTAAAACAAATTAAAAACTTGTATATTAAATTTATAAAATAATGCGAAAACATGTTGAACTTGTGGAATCGGCTAACGATCAACTGACTAGGTCAAATGACAGGATCCAAAGTCCGGTTAGTTTTCACATTATTTTGTAGATTTAATAATTCAAGTTTTTAAAGCGTTTAAAACCGTTTTAGAAAAAAAAAATCAAAAATTTAAAACAAATTAAATATTAGATCTTAAAACAAAAGTTTGACTTTTTTTTAAACCCGTGAGAAATTAGAAAAAATTTTTTAAAAAAAATCAGAATTTTAAAACTAATTAAAAACTTGTATATTAAATTTATAAAATAATGCGGAAACATGTTGAACTTGTGGAATCGGCTAACGATCAACTGACTAAGTCAAATGACAGGATCCAAATTTCGGTTAGTTTTCACATTATTTTGTAAATTTAATAATTAAAGTTTTTAAAGCGTTCAAAACAGTTTTAAAAAAAAAATCAAAATTTTAAAACAAATTAAATATTATATATTAAAACAAAAGTTTTCACTTTTTAAAAACCCGTGAGAAATTAGAAACAAAATTTAAAACCCTAATTCTTTTAACGTAACGTAAATTGTTTTTAAATCTATTAAAATTCTTAATTAAAAAAAAGGGGCTCAAGAAATTGACCTTTTTTTATGGGCTGGAGTTGTTATTGTTGGGCTTTGTAGGATAGCACCATAGATGTGAGCTCACACGCCATCTCTAATCTCGCGGCAAAGCAATCCGATGATCAAAACTTGAATCCCTCAAACCTCTCTGATTGATCCACCTCCTCAATCTTCCCTCTCTATCGTCATCTCCGTCTTCGTAGGTAACAACAACTAAACGAACATAACCTTATGATCCTTTTCCTCATCCTCCATCACGCTCGTCTCTGGTGTCGGGTTGGTGAAGATAAGGAAAAATTCATAGAATTCGAAGAAATCATAGATGAAATCGACGAGAATAGAGTTCAATAAAGCATAAATCGAATAAGAGAAACGAAAATTTAGAGAAATCGCGTATGAACACTCTTATAACTCGTGTTTCTTTCTCTGTGTTTATTTTGTTTCTCTGTGGTTTGTAATGATGAAACTAAAAAGATTAGACAAAGAGAAGAGATGAGGCGCGAGAGACTATTTATAAACTCATCATCGAATGTGTTTTAGGATTCAGAGTTTCCTTTTTTTTTTAATTCTTCTCTGTTATTTCCTTTTTTTAATTCTTCTTGGTTGTTTCCTTTTTTTCACTCATGTCTTGTTTCCTATTTTTTTTTTTTTGGTTTGGGAAACAAACAAAATATACCATAGTTTTTTTACATGTAATATGATTTTGAAAGTTACAAATATATGTGTAATTGGAAATTGGTACAACCATTTTCCTCACATCATCGAACCGATCCCTCTGATTTGCAGGTTTAGTTCCGGTGGCAATTTTCGTAATTACTTTCTTCTGTAGTGGCTCAATTTAAGTTCTAATATCATCTGTTGTAGTTGGATCAAAAAAGTTTCTTCTTAGTACCCTCTCATATACCAAACAGTGGATTGCAAGTAAGAGTTTTGCCGACATTAGTCTCTAACTTGGAGATTGAGTGAACATTCGAAATCAGGAGGTGTCAAAACGTATTACTGCGACTCTGGTTCTTCCAAAAAGTATATCCAAGGTTCGATCTCAACAAACGTTAGAAATATCATCGCAACTCGATGAATTCTTCCTAGTTCCTATCTATAATATGGTTCAGAGACATGAACGACCTTGTAATATATGTTCACTACTGTATGCCAAACTACTAAAGCACAATTCAACAAAAACCTGAATCCATACTAAATCATGGCTACTTCGATGAATCCCTCGGTTGTCAAAGAAAACCAACCCTGAAGGAAACCGAACCAACCGAGACTAATTACTAGATCTTTATATGAAACATGGACTTGGAATTCAGATAACCAACCTATCAAAACTAGAAACTTATAACAAAACTCTGCAGCAGACAAGAAGCTTCTATGACTGCATAAGAGTTCAAAGGAACGGAAAAAAGAAGAAGCTTATATATAATTTGAACCCCTTCGTTTAATATTTACACACAAAGAGAAGAAAAATACAGACTTCAATCAGGCAATGTATCTCTGCAGTTGTCCAGATTTGTTGTTTCTGCCTAAATGATCCGAAAACTGCAATCAGGAACTAACCTTTTAACACATCGGACCGAGTTTCCAAACTCGCTCATCGCGATAATCATCCACCCTTCACCTAACGCCTAGTCCCGTTCAATCTAAACTTCTCATCACATCCTGCACATGTGAAAAGTGTAACAACAAAAAAGTTCTTAGCTTCAAGAACACATGTAAAGATCAAAAGGGGAAACGAGTAACACTAAAACTTACGAGTAGGAAGGATCGGGGAAATGTTGATTTTGATTTTGAGGGCGTCGATAACAGAAAGAACTTCTTCGTTTCCAGATGCCATAAAGAGTCTCAGAACTCTCTCATTCAATTTCCCAGCTTTCAGTGTCCTCTTGACATTACAAAAACAGCAATAGAATCAATTAGAAACAGTATCATCAATCCATATGTAATGGAGCAAAACAACAACAACAACAACAAAAAGTGATTTAAGAACAAATAAGAGATATTCAATAACACAAACAACTGTTCCTCACAAAGCATATAGAGTAGACTACGATTCTGGAACCCTAAGCTCTAAAGCTTAAAACTTTCACTCAAAATCAAAGGACGATGACCTAAAAATCCAACTTTACACTAATTTCGAGAAACCCAGAACCGATTTCAAACCAAGTAACAAAAAAAGGGGGATTGAGATTAGGGTTTTTACTGCGAAGAGGTCAAGGAGGATGTGATCAGGTAGATGTGAGAGATCGTTGATGCGAGAGAGGTTTAAGACGGCGGCGTTGACGGTGAGGGAGAGCAGAGACGGAGGAGGGTTTCTCATTCAATCAGTTTGAGAGGATTTGTTGGTTCCAAAGATTTAATTAAACGAAATTGCTTAAAGGCTCCGTCTTTGATTTGTATGGTGTGTTCTTTTGAATCCGCCGCCTTTCTTTTCTTCGCTATGGAATCTGAATTTTCCACGATCGAAATCTATACAGGGTCGGTCTCTAAGAGACGTTTCCAGAAAAAGCAAAAGTGCCAAAGGACGAAATCTTGGGTGATTTAGGTGAATAACAAAAAAAAAAAAAAAAAATTAGTTTTTTAGAAAGAAGGTAGAGAGTAGGCCTGGGCATAATATCCGAACCCGAAAAACCGAACCGAACCCGACCCGAAAAACCCGACCCGAATCCGAACCCGAAGTTTTAAAATACCCGAACGGGTTCTAAACTTCACAACCCGAAAATCCGAACCCGAACCCGATCCGAACCCCAACCCGAACAAGTACCCGAACATACCCAAAATATAAGTACATAGTTATATTTTATTAGTAATATTTATACTTGTAATAACCTAAGTGCCTAAATTATTCGGATGTTAAGATATTTTCGGGTGTTTTAGCTACTTTGGGCTAGATTCAGGTATAAAATGCTTGGGTTTTATAGATTTTTTGAGTATTTTTCAATACTTTGCATAGAATCGGAGACAAAATTTCTAATATTTGGATACTTCGGGTAAACCCGAATCCGAACCCGAAATATCCGATCCGAACCCGACCCGAACCCGAAGTTTTAAAATACCCGAACGGGTCTTAGTTTTCTAAATCCGAATAACCCGAACCCGAAAAACCCGACCCGAACCCGACCCGAATATCCGAACGCCCAGGCCTAGTAGAGAGAGATAGGAAGAGAAAGAGAGTGAATAGGGGGGTTAGAGGTTAGTTATTGAATTAAAGTTTTTTTGTTGGTTAGTTTTGCCAATTTCCCCGAAATCTTTCTTCTTCTCACTTTTTTTTTTCGCGTTTGTCGAATAAACGCAAAACGCAGCGTTTGACTAAAAACGCTAAATCCTTTTGTCAATCCTGCACAAATCCTTATCCTTAATGAAAAAACTCAAACTTACCATTTTATGACTAAGATTAATGTGAAAAGTGTGAATACCCAAAATTATGTATCCACTTGAGTCTTGAGAGTACAATTATGTATCCAAAGTAGCGTGATAAATCGGAAATGAATAAGTTCTTTTAGCAATGGTATCGACACTTCGATTGGCTGGCCGACTTTTGAATGCACAAGATGATAGTAGATGTGGTCGGTTTTTCTCAATGATCTCTAATTCTCTATCGTGATACTCTTCAGTCGAGGTCAACTTTGAGGGTTTTTCCACGCATGTATTGATGCTTTAGAGTCACTCTCTAACTAAACTTGTTGAATGCCGAAATGTTAGACACAAGCCCGGCTCAAATTTTTATAAGGACCAGAGCTAGAAAAAAGTTGGTCTCAATATTACTACATATTTTTTTAAAAAAAAAAATTTGGGCCTTTTTGACTAAAAAAAAAACCTAAAAAAGCTGATGGACCATGTGCTATTGCACCAGTTGCACATACTAATAACCGGGCCTGATTAGACACGATATCTTCAACGAAATTGCTACTATTTCAGCTGCAAGGGCATAATGCAACCTAGGATATGTCTTGGTCTCAAAGACTCAAACCATTTGGCTCCTTTTACTTGCTTCACTTCTATTTATTCTATTGATTGATCCTAAGATTAAAATAGTTGGAAACTTAAAATTTATAGATTTAAATCAAGTTTTATTTTTTGCATATTCTACAAATTGAAGTGGATCTTACAATAATTTTAAAGTTTGATTTTTTTTTCTTCGTGTTTCCTCGTAGCTTAAATATCAATCAATGTGATAAAAATGACATTGACAATGACATGTGTAAGTTTAGTAGTGGTTTGTGTTAATACTTGGTAGTATTGTTGTTATCTCGCCATAGGCCCATAACTCACATAATACGGTACATAGTACTTGACAAGAATTACTAATTAGAGAGATTGGGTTAACATGTTGGTGTTTTAGTGAGCGGGCTCCCTAACGATGGGCCGAAATTAATTGAAAGCCATCGATCTTTGTTTTTGTTTAAGTGCTTATCTACTATATATACTCTCAAGCCCACTAATCTCTGGATACGCGGGCTTGAATATATTTTAGTTGAGTTTCTTAATACTTGCGGAAAGCATACTGATAGGACCATTACGAAACTATTAAAAGATACGTGGAATTGATGACAACATAAATATTGTTGGAGCATACTGTAGTTGAAAATTAGTGTGTCAGTCTAACGTACCACAATGAGTTGATCTGCAAAGATAGCTATACAATATTTATGTTTATAGATTTTCTTCAGTTTTGAGATGACTACGTACGACTGTACGAGTATACTCACTTGTCAATAAAATCGATGTGAAGATTAAATTGTTAATCCAAAATTTCATGTATGCTAGAACTGGTCGTTAGCAAACAAGATGCTGTTGAAATTGTGCATAAAACCTGTTAAATGAGTTGTTATAACTATTTAGGAAATCTTTTGAGGTATAACCTAGGTGAATATGTGTCCGAGTGTCTAATAGCTCTATCAGATAACAATTATGAGTAGTTAACAAAATATACCGTCTTCATTTGAACAATATATGAAGTTTTTGGGATGGTTTTGCTTAGGAGGACATTCTATGATATATTTCACATCTTTATTATATAAATTTTTATTTAGATGGACAGTTAAGCAAGGGTCTGAAATTTATTGGCAAAGCAATAAATGTTATCTGTATAGCACATGCACATGGGGATTCTTTTTCCTCTTTATAAGGTCCAATTTTTCATTATATATATCTCCTAAATGTGTATTGTTACATTTTAATAATGTTTCGTGAGAAAAGGTGTCTAATGGAGAACATTTCAAACTATTGACTAATCTCTTAAATTTAAATTTAGGTGGAATTTTTTAAGAATTTAAAACCATGTAATGACAAAGAGAGTAAATCCTCTCTCTCAAAAACCTCTCAACCCTAGCCGCCGCCCCCAAAACTTATTTTCCGATTGACCTCTCCGGTGGCCGGCGCTTCTCGCCGTTGCTGTCGTGAGAGGGTCCAAATGTTTTTCCTTTGTTGTCTTGTTGGTTTTTGTTCTCGTTCTGTCTAGATCCGGTGTTGGTGGTGAAGTTTTTGCTTGGCTGTGACGATGAAACTTCTCGGCGAGTCTTCACGGCTTGTTTGGCAGCTAGCTTCTCCGGTGAGAGTTGTTTTTGGGTCTCCGACTTTTGTGGTGCTATCGGATACTCAGTGCTTGTACAATCTGGCGAAGGTTCTGGCCTCGGTGGGGCAATGGAGCTTGTTTGGTCGCAGATCTACGGCTGTGGTTTCGTTTGTGTTTCAGTCCGGTAAGCAGACCGTCGGGTCTGGTTTTTTCTCCGCTTTACTAAGGTTAGATGGTTCTGTTTTAGTCTGCTAGTTGTAGTTGTTGCTCGTGTAACTTGATTCGATGGAAGTAGCCTTGTTCTTGGATCGTAAAATTGAATCTTTGCTCTACCTCTCTGTCTGGTCCTCTTGCTTTTTCGTTGGTGAGCTGTGGTCTGGGTTCGTTCTTGGTGTTGGCCTCTCCGATGGTATTTTGTTGCTGAGCCACTTACTAGCCTTTCTCTGAAGTTCTTGTTTTAGAGTGAGGTTTCAGGCAAAGCAGTGGAATCGATCTTTAGCTCTTCTCTTGCGAGGAGGTCACAGTTTTATGTCTGTAAGTGGCTGAAACTGGTTCGACGAGTGTCCGCGTGTAAGAGTTGCTGATCTTCTTTGGCTTTTCTCCAGTCGATTTGCAAGGTTTTCTGCCTTGTTCCTAGTGTTTCTTGCTCCATTCGTTTGGCTGGTGAGGTATGATGGTAGTTGTATTTGTGTCTTTGGTCGCGTTGGTTTCCTGCTTTCCTCCCTGTCGGTTTGCTACTGGTTTGTCTTCGGTGTGAGGTCTATCCGGTCTTATTGGTGCTTCCGGCGTCTTACAGGTTCTATAGGGAAGCTTTGTGGGAGTCTCTCGTGCCTTTGTTCAATTATAGTGCTTAGGTTTTTTTTCCATGACGATTGTTCTTCTTTAGAATTTTGTTTCTCTACTTGGTTATAATCAGTTTCCCTGTTCTTTGGGGCTTTGTTTCCCTCTTTTGGGCTAATGACTCTGGGGACTTATCTGTTGTCCGCCGGCATCTGTAATTTCAACTTGTATCCGTTCTTGGTTTATTAATAAAATTCAGACGACAAAAAAAAAAAAACCATGTAATGACAAATTAGTTGTTACAATATCGTGGGAGATCTAACTTAAAAAGTTCACTGTCCCAATGATCCTGATGTTTTTCATTATTTTCACATTAAGTATCAACGTATTATTCAAAACCAACTGATCCGTGTTTTTGTCTACTCTTGTATAAGAACTCTACCAGTTTTATGATAAAAGTTCTATCAATTAGGTTTTTGGCTCATTGGTCTATCTTGTCAACATCTTTTAAATTAATACAATATTTGTCGTTACAGATAAGTTGCATCATTACGGGATGATTGTATTCATCGACTTCTAATTTATTCCTCTATTTAATTGGAGAAAGTAGAAAAGCTTGCAAAATAACTAAAGTCAAACATGTTGCATTTTGCAAACCTGCCTAGTAAGAAAAACGCCACTCCAAGCACCAAATTCATTTAGAAAAAACTCTTATCTATATTTCCAAACAATCGTTTTCTTTTGTCGTTCTACAAATTAAAAGTAATCTATTTTTTTGTTTAGATAAAATATAAATGCAGTTGTTATACTATTAGTAACTCGGTTTTATTGGTCAACGTGAGCAGGTGATTCCGAAAGAAAATAACATGCAAAACTAAATCTATACACATCGAATATATTATTTCTTCTGGAAGGTAACCTTTTTTACATGTTTTCCTCCTTCAAGTTATGAAAGTAGCTTGAAAAAATTAAATAATTAGGTAGAAATTTGTAGGTTATGGAGATGTACGTCAAAAGTGAGTGGACTTTCTAACTATAGCCAAAGCATCGAGCACCAAACTTTTAATGTCTAATATTTATATGTATCTTCGTAAACTTCAAAAAAAATATTAAAATGGAGAAAATTTGTAATTCCGGGGTATAATATATGTTTGAGAAAATTAAAACACGTCCCTATAGA